AGGACAGTGAAAATAAATAGAAAAAAAAGCATAAAACAAGAAAAAAACATAAGACAAAAAATCAACAAAAAAAATAGTAAACGAAAGAACAAAAAAAAAAAAAAACAAGAAAAAGAAAAAAAACAAAAAAGAACAAAAAAAAAACAAGAAAAAAAGAATAAAGCAAGAAAAAGAACAAAAAAACACAAAAACTAAAAAGACGGTGCGGCGAATAGCTGGGAACGGGACAGCTGACGGGAAAGCTGACGGGAAAGCTGACGGATAAGTGCGGGAGCCAGGGAGTGGCGCAGGGGAGGGTCCTTGCAGGTGGCAGGGGGTGGCATTGGGAAGCTGAAAAGTTTACAACTAAGGGCTCCACTTCGGGCGCTTCGCGGCTGACGCGAAGCGCGAAGCGCGAATAACTTCGCGCTCTCGCGCCGCCCCCCCAAAGGGAGAAAAGGAGGACGAGGAGGAGGGGGAGGAGAAACGAGGACCGCGAAGCGCGAAGCGCGAATAACTTCGCGCCCTCGTGGGAGCCCTTGTTACAAAAACAGTAGTGCGCTTGTAACTTTTCAGCTTCCCAAGGGTGCCCCCCCCTGCCACCTATCAGGCCACCCTGGCGGAGGGCCTGCCGCTCATCCTGGGGGGGCGGGGGGGGCTGCCGCATATCCCGGGGGGGTCTGCCGCTTGCGAGGGGAGGCCTGGGGAGGAGGGGTGAGGGCAACGCACCCTTGCAAGATCCCTCGGAGGGCCAGCCTGCCGCTTACTCCAGGGCCCCTGGGCGCCGCGTATCTGTCCTGAAGCCGGCTCCGACCTGTGGCCCCTCTGGGCCGCTCCTGTGGTCCCCTCCTCCCCGTCCCCCTTCCATCCCCACCCCAGAAAACACCACTCTGCCTCTAGGGCTCCCAACTTCGCGCTTCGCGCTGCGCGAAGCGCGAAGCGCGAATAACTTCGCGCTCTCGCGCCGCCCTCCCAAAGGGAGAATAGGAGGACGAGGAGGAGGGGGAGAAGGAACGAGGACCGCGAAGCGCGAATAACTTCGCGCCCTCGAGGGAGCCCTTGCTGCCTCCCCCCACCTCCCCGCCCATCCACCGCGTCGTCCTCTCACTCCCCCCTCCGCCGATCCCGACCTGGGGCTCCTCAGGGCCATCTCTGGCCACCCCCTCACGCACGACGAGTGGAGAGCCACGAGGACATGGGATCGAAACCATGGAGGTGAAGGGAGCTGACCCGTGAGGAGAGCAGGGACATCAGGAATTAGCACGAATATAATTTGAAGGGGCACCAGGACACACAAATAAATACACACAAATAAAAAGATTCCCCATATTTTCCTATATTTTCTGGGGTTCTGTCTTCCCCCCCACATCCCATATTTTCCCATATTTTCTGGGGAATCGAGGATTAATTGTGTCTGTGTGTTTCTTCTTCTCCTGATAATTACCCATTGACGTAATTCCGGACGGATTACTGTATGGCAAAGATCGCGAACCTTTGTGCAATTCACATAGGGAGCATGCGTGCTGTATACCTCATGATGCAGGTTTGAGGCCGCACCATCGAACATGCAACGGGGGTGGAGGAGCACGAAAGGGCAACGACGATCAAGCAGGAGTTGGGTCAAGAGAACAAGAGGGAAGCATGCTGCACGTGGGCGTGTACGAATACCGTGACCGGGGCGAGGAAACGGAGAGCGGCACGGCGAGCGGGGGATGCGGCGCCGAGACGAGGATACCAAGAGGAGCACTACACCCTGCGAAATGCTTAAGAAATCATGGGTTCAGAATTTCAGAGTCTCAGAACTTGAACAAAAACCCAAACTTTCCATCCAAATCTTAGGATTTACATTGAAACATTAAGACTAATCGAGAGTCTGGCCGAAAAAAAAAGTTTTCTGAAGCATCGCCTAAGGTATACGCCGATAGGGCAAGGGGAGGGATCGGACCGAGGAGCGAGGGCGAGGACCGGGAAGGCGAGGATTCTCCGTGGGGGGCCCGCCTCGAATAGTGCCGCCCCGTTGGCCCTCCCAGGGTGCCGTTGCCAGCACCCACGACGCCGAGGTATGGTTTGGGGTTTGCGCTGGACGCACCTCCTCCTCCTCCTCCTCCTCCTCCTCCTCCTCCTCCTCCTCCTCCTCCTCCCCAGGGGCGAGGTCTCCGTGGGGCCCGCCTCAAAAATACCGCCCCGTTGGCCCTCCCAGGGTGCCGCTGCCAGCACCCACGATAGAGGGCAGACAAATCCACCCCGATGATAACCACCCCGACATGCGAGGCCTTCAGTAAACGCGCCCAAAGAAGGAATCGAACAGGGCAGAGCTGTTTAGTAAACGCCCAAGGCCGCTTAGTAAACGCCAATTTGTCCGGTCCGGGTGGTTTTTCCTCCCTTGACACGAAGCCGAGGTATGGTTTGGGGTTTTTGCGCTGGACGCACCTCTCCGCCGGACCTCCCAGGGGCCCACGGAACTGTCTGCAGTGGCGCAGTGGGCAGCACCTGCGGAGGGCGAGGTCCAGAGTGGGTCTGCGTGGGACACTCCTCCGCAGGGTCCCAGGAAAGTGACGACAGCGGCGCAGCTGGCGGCACCCAGGGAAGGCGACGTTTCATCGGGCGATTTGGGTTTGCGTGGGGCACCACTTCGCCGAACCTCCCAGGGGCCCACGACAAAAAGCGGCAGCGGCCCAGTCGGCGGCACCAGGGAAGGGCGAGGTGTCATATGTTTCTACGTGGGGCACCACTGCGTACGAAAGTGGCGACAGTGGCGCAGCTGGCGGCAACCAGTGAGGCCGAAGTTTCATGCGGGTCCGCGTGGAGCACCACTCCGCTGGACCTCCCAAGGGCCATGGAACGATGTGGCAACTGCGCAGTTGGCAACGCCCCAGGAAGGCGAGGTCTCTTTTTGGGTCCGCGTGGGACACCTGCCCGACGGACTTCCCAAGGGACCACGAAAGTGGTGACAGTGGCGCAGTTGGCAGCACCGAGGGACGCGAAGTTGAATTTGAGTCTGCGCGTCACACCACTCGGACATAACTCCTGGGGGCCCGCGAAACTGGCGGTAATGGTGCAGTTGGCAGCAACCAGGGAGGCTGAGGTCACCCAAGGAGAACATGTTCGTCGTCGTCTGCTTTCGTCATCGGTTGTCGTAGACAGTCGTCGGCGGAAATCGCTGTCGTCTGTTGACTGTCGACTGTCGACTGTCGTCGTCGTCGGTCGGTCGGTCGTCGGTTGTCGTCGGTTGTCGGCGACTGTCGTCGTCGTCGTCGTCGTCGTCATCGTTGGTCGGTCATCGTCGGTCGTCGTTGGTATTCGTCGTCGGTCGTCGTCAATCGTCGTCCATCGCCGTCGGTCGTAACCTGGCGTCGTCGGTCGTCAACAGAGGTCTGCGGATTTCTTGGGGACGAAAGCATAAGTGGCAGGCTTGTCTGGGGCCGCCAAGTAATAAGTGACAGACCTCTCTGGGGCCGCCCAACGAGAAGTGGCAGGCCTCTTTGGGGCCGCCCAAAAAGGAAGTGGCAGGCCTCTGGGGCCCACCAAACGATAGCTGGCAGCCCCGTCTGGGGCCGCCACATGGCAAGTGGCAGACCTCTCTGGGGCCCCAAAACATAGCTGGCAGCCCCTCCTGGGGACCTCTAAGCTGGGGCCTTCGGTGGAGCTCCCTATGGGGCCACGAACCGCGTGACTGGTGTGCCAAAGTGGGCGTAGGGCGCATGCGGCTCGTGCCTCTGGGGACTTCGGTGGCCCTCCCTATAAGACCACACCACAACACACACCACACAACAACAAACAACACACACACACAAACAAACATCAACACCAGCACAACAATCACACACACACACACAGCACACAAACACAAAACACACAAACAAGACCACAACACCACCACACACCACACACAACACCACCACACACACAAAACAAAAACACACACAACACAAACACACACAACAGACACACAACAAGACACAACCCACCAAACACACACACACAACCAACCACACGACAAAAACACACACACATCCACCAAGACATCAAAACACACACACATCACCACGGAACAGTGGTGCGAAGGGTGTGCGAAATTGCATCGGGCGCATGCGGCGGTGGTTTCCCCACAGTGGCCTTCCGGTGAGTTGCCCTATGGGGTCCTCGTGAGGGGTGTGCCGAAATGAATGTCGGGCGCATGCGGCCTGCGTCACCGTGGCTTTCCGTGGAGCTCCTTTTGGGGCCGGGCACCGTGTGACGGGTGTGTCAAAATAGGCGTCGGGCGCATGCGGCCTGTCCCACTGGGGCCCTCGGTGGAGCTCCCTATGGGGCTACGGACCGCGCGAGGGGTGTGCCAACATTGGCGTCGGGCGCATGCGGCCTGTGCCACTGGGGCCTTGGGTTCTTATAGGGCCAGGAACGGTGTGATGGGTGTGCCATGCGGCCTGTCCCACTGGGACCCTCGGGCGAGCTCCCTATGGGGCCACGAACCGCGCGAGGGGTGTGCCAACATGGGTGTCGGGCGCATGCGGCCTGTGCCACTGGGGCCATCGGTGGACCTTCTTATCGGGCCAGGAACCGTGCGGTGGGTGTGCCAACATGGGCGTCGGGCGCATGCGGCCTGTGCCACTGGGGCCTTCGGCGGAGCTCCCTATGGGGCCACACGCCGTGCGGGGGGGGTGCCGTGCCAAAGTGGGGGCGTCGGGCGCATGCGGCCTGTGCCACTGGCTTTCTGTGGGGGGGGTCATTCCTAGGAGGCCACGAGCCGTGTGAGGGGTGTGCCAAAATAGGCGTCGGGCGCATGCGGCTTGCGCCACTGGGGCCTTCGGTGGAGCTGCGTATGAGGCCACGATGTTCGTGAGGGGTGTGCCGACATGGTGGGCATGCGGAGAGCAGAGGCAGGGAGGGGAGGAGGGAAGGGGGCAGCGGAAGGTTAGGTGAGTGACGCGGGGCGCTGTCTCTTCAAAACGATGACCCAACACCACCGGATGGTTGGGAATCAAAGCGCGTTTCCCCCAGGACCCTTTCCCTTCACGGATAACCTTGTGCCTCACGACGTGTCTCCAGCGCGCGACGCCAGTTTCATACTTCTTCAAGCGGACGATGCACTCGGGCATGCCGCCCGGGGCCCGCGGGTCGGTCAGCAGTTCCGCCACCCACTCGTAGCGACTGCGGGGCGCGAGGAGCTGGGTGATCGCGTTGGCCTTCGAAATGTTCCTAAGCAGCTTCTTGAACTTGCGATTCAACACCCGCGCCCTGAAATGGCCGATCTCGGTGGAACTCTCCAGAACCTGGAGGTGCGCCTGGAACTGCCGGTAGGCCTCGTCGTCTACCTCCGTGGCCTCCTCCATGTCCTGTATGCTCATCATCGTTGCTCTTCGCATCTTGACCCTCGAGTTCTGGTTGTCCTGCGCTACGTGTCGTGCAAGATTGGCAGAGAGGACAGGCCGCGACCACACGCTCACACACAAAAGTGCGCACACTCACGTTTTCCGTCGGCGGCGAGGCAGAAAAAACTGCACCAGCGGTGAGTGATCGGGGCGACCGAAACGCGAATTGGCCGGCATGTAAGAAAGGGGGGAGTATGAAGGGGCCCCAGGACACACAAATAACTACACACGAATAAAAAAAGGCCCCATATTCTTATATTTTCTGGGGGGTTGTCTTCCCCCCACTTCCCATATTTTCCCATATTCTCTGGGGGATCGACGATTCATTGTGTCTGTGTGTTTTTCCCCCTCTTGAGAGTAGACAGACAGGGCGGCAGCGAAGGACAGGAGGGAGCGCAGGGCACTCAGACGCAGAAGAGTTCCACGCAGAGCGCGCCGGGGCGGCCAGCAGCGGCCACGGGGGCTGCGGCAGCAGCCGGGACGCGACACCCACGGGCGCTGCCGATGCACCGAGGTGGCACAAGTAGGCGCGAAGACGGAGTCCAGGCTTCGGACCGCCAACAGCAAAATGCTGCTTCCACTGGGTGTCAGGCTGGGGTCATGCGCCCTAGCGCAATGTCCGCCGGTTCGGCCACCAAGGGGGGCTGCACGCCATGAGCGGCAGCAAACGGCGCCATGGCGGCGCGCGAGGGGAGGGAGTGAAAAGGCACGGGGGAGGACGGGGGAGGCAGGCGGATTTTAAACAAAAGCGAAAAATACCAACCGCAAAAACTCAAAAATCATAGAACAGTCGTCCTTCCATTATTTTTGAATATCCTTCTGTAGAGGGAAAGGCCCGACAGAAGGCAAGTGAGGAAGAGCGCCCCGCCTGCAGGGAACCCCCAACAGGCGGGGCGGCGGCGTGCCGCAGCCAAGCACCGGCGGCGCCCAAAGCCAGGCGCGGGGGGCCCCGCCATCGTACAGCGACAGCGCGTGGAGCTGCACAGCGGGGCGGCAAAACTGCGGCCGTGAGGCCCGCGGGGAACCAGGTTACAGCTCGCCAGGTGGCCTGCGCCAGGGGCGGGGCTGGTCCGGATGTAAAACAAATGCGCACACACACAAGCACACACACAAGCACACACAAGCACACACACACACACACACACACGCTCACACACGACACACGGTTACACGCACACTTCTACACCTTCACGGCTGCCTGGACCCAAGCTGCGCGCTGGCGCCGTCCCGCCGAAGCTGGGGACGAACGGCCTCTTCCAACTGGGGAAACCAAACGATACAGATATACCGATACTCCCTGAACCTTTCCAGGGGTGCGTTCTGACCAGGACTTCGAGGCGAACCAAGCAGTGGCGACGAGGCCCTCCCCAGAGACCCAATCAGGCGATAACTGACTATCGGAAGCGACAGCGGAACGAAACCGACAGGAAGGCGACAACGAAAACGAGAAGGCGAACGAAAGCGAAACGATGACGAGACCAAATGCGATAAGAGGTGGCAATAAAGGCGAAACGAAAGCGAGAACGAAGGCGGGAACGAAAGCGGAAACAAAGGCAAAAGGAAAGCGCGAACGCGGCCAGGAACGAGAGCGGAAACAGCAGGAGGAAGAGGAGGACGACGTCACCGGCGACGGGCAGGTCGGGTCGGGTCGGGCGGACGGACCCTAACAGGCGGGTCGGGTCTGGCGGGCGGGACATGGAACTGTGGTGCACGATCGGGATCACACGCGAGAGCCCTAACGAGCGGGTCAGGTCGAGTCGGGTCGGGCGGGTGGACCCGAACGGGCGGGTCGGGCGGGTCGGGCGGGACATTAAAATGTGGTGCGCGATCGAGCTCACACGCGGAAGCCCTAACGGGCGGGTCGGGTCGGGTCGGGTCGGGCGGGGGGATCCCTAACAGGCGAGTCGGGTGTGGTGCATGATCGAGCTCACGCGCGAGGGCCCTAACGGGCGGGTCGGGTCGAGTCGGGCGGGAGGATCCCTAACAGGCGGGTCGGGTCGGGTCAGGGGGGCGGACCCTGATGGGCGGGTCGGGTCGGGCGGGCAGGACATACAAGTCCGGTGAGTGAGCGAAATTGGACACGCGGTACCCTAAGCGGCGGAGCGGGTGGGGTCGGGAAGGCGGACCCTAACCGGGCGGGTCGGTCGGGCGGGCGGATGGACCCTACTGGGCAAATCGGGTCGGGCGGACGGGACATTAAGGTGCGGTGCGTGATCGAGTTCACCCGCAAGGCGGATCGGGTCGGGTCTGGCGGCGGATCATACGGGCGTGTCGTGTCGGGTCGGGTCGGGCGGTCGAATCGTAGCCGGCGGGTCGGGTCGGGCGGATGGGGCATTATCGAATTCACGCGCGAATGCCCTAACGGGCGGGTCGGGTCGAGTCGGGCGGGCGGACCCTAACGGGCGGGTCCGGTCGGGTCGGGCGGGCGGACCCTAACCGGCGGGTCGGGTCGGGCGGATGGGGCATCATCGAATTCACGCGCGAGTGCCCCAATGGGCGGGTCGGGTTGGGTCGGGCGGGCGGACCCTAACGGGCGGGTCGGGTCGGGTCGGGCGGGCGATCCGTACTGGGCAAGTCGGGTCGGGCGGGCGGGACATTAAAGTGTGGTGCATGATCGAGCTCACGCGCGAAGGCCCTCACTGGCGGGTCGGGTCCGGGGTCGGGCGGGAGGGGACATTAAAGTGCGGTGCGTGATCGAGTTGACACTCGAGTACCCAACGGGGCGGGTCGGGTCGGGTCGGGTCGGGCGGGCGGACCCTAACCGTCGGGTCGGTCGGCGGGGGGGCATTATCGAATTCACGCGCGAGGGCCCAATGGGCGGTCGGGTCGGGTCGGGCCGGGCGGACCCTAACGGGCGGGTCGGGTCTGGTCGGGCGGGCGGACCACGTACTGGGCAAGTCGGGTTCGGGCGGGCGGACATTAAAGTGTGGTGCATGAGTCGAGTCACGCGCGAGGGCCCTAACGGGCGGGTCGGAACGAGTCGGGTCGAGATCCCTAACAGGCGGGTGTCGGGTCCGGCTCCGGGGGGGCGACCGCTGAGGGGCGGGTCCGGGTCGGGCGGGCGGGACATTAAAGTGCGGTGCGTGATCGAGTTGACACGCGAGTACCCAAACGGGCGGATCGGGTCGGGTCGGGGCGGGGCGGGCGGGACATGAAAATGTGGTGCATGATCGAGTTCACGCGCGAGAGCCCTAACGGGCGGGTCGGGTCGGGTCGGGCGGGCGGACCCTAACGGGCGGGTCGGGTCGGGTCGGGCGGGGGGGCCGTAACGGGCGGGTCGGGTCAGGCGGGCGGGAAATTCAACACTGGCGCATGATCGATTTCACGCGCGAGAACCGTCGGGTCGGGTCGGGCGGGCAGGCCCTATCCGGCGGGTCGGGTCGGGTCGGGGGGGCGGACCCTAACAGGCGGGTCGGGTCGGGCGGGTGGGACATCATCGGACTCACACGCGAGCCCTAACGGGCGGGTCGGGACGGGTCGGGCGGGCGGACCCTAACCGGCGGGTCGGGTCGGGCGGGTGGGGCATTATCGAGTTCACGCGCGAGTGCCCCAATGGGCGGGTCCGGTCGGGTCGGGCGGGCGGACCCTAACGGGCGGGTCGGGTCGGGTCGGGCGGGCGGACCCTACCTAACCGGCGGGTCGGGTCGGGCGAGCGGGACATTAAAATGTGGTGCATGATCGAGTTCACGCGCGAGAGCCCTAACGGGCGGGTCGGGTCGGGTCGGGCGGGGGGATCCCTAACAGGCGGGTCAATACTCCCTACTCACTGTACACAACTCAACACCCACTAGTCACGAATCACAAATCACTACTCACTACCCACTAACCACTATCCATTACTCACTACTCACACTTCACTTCCCACTGCTCAGTGCCCACAACAAACTACTCACGATCCACTTCTCGCTACTCGCTACTCCCTACACAGTACTCACTACCCACTATTCGTTACTCCCTACGCCCATACTCGCTACCCCATACGCACTAGTCACTACCACTACTCACTACCCACTACGCTCCCACTACTCACTGTTCACTACTACCTACTCCCTACGCTCTACTCCCAACTCACAACTCACTACTCGCTACTCCCTACTCCCTACTCACTACACACAACTCACTACTCACTACTCGCTATTCCCTACTCGCTACGCACTACTCCCTACTCACTACTCACTTGTGACTCCTGCCTACTCCCTCCTCGCTACTCACTACTCACTTCGCCCTACTCGCTACTCGCTACTCACTAGTCACTGCTCGCTATTCGCTACTGTCTACTCCCTCATCCCTACTCCCTGCTAACTACTCACTATGCACTACTCACTACACACTACTCACTCCTCCCTACTCGCAATCCCACCAGCCCTCTGGGCGTAGGTGGTCTAGAACAGATCCTCTTCCACCCCTCCCTCTTCCCCCTTGGGGAGGGGTTTACCCCTCCCCTGGACCTGGACGGAGGGTTCCCCGAGCGGTCGGACGGCTCTTTTGGCCCCAAGATGGCTTCAAGAGCGCGTCAGAGAGCCCAAGATGAGCTCCAAGATGGCTCAAGATAGCGCAAGATCGCTCGAGATGGCTCCTAAGATGGTTCCACGAGGGCCAAAGACGGTCCCAAGACGGCTCCAAGTGGCCAAAGAGCTCCCCAAGGAGGCCCCGAAGAGGCCAACATCGCCCCAAAGCCTTAGGAAATCAATGTGTTTTGCCTTCTCCCCGTTTCGCTTCCGATGGCCATCCAAGGCCTCAAGATGGCTCCCAGATGGCCCAAGAGGGCCCCACAAGAGGCCCAAGAGAGCCCCAAGACGGCCCCAAGAGCGCCCAAGAGCGCTCCAAGAGCGCCCCAAGAGCGCCCCAAGAGGCGATGCTTGGAGCTCCTGAGGGGGGAGGCTAATTAGGGACCCCCCCTTCGTTGATCGATCTCCTCCAAGATGGCCCCAAGAGCGCCCCAAGAGCGCCCCAAGAGGCGCCCAGACGGCCCCAAGAGGCGCCCAAGAGGCCTCCAAGAGGCTCCCAAGAGACCCCCAAGAAGCCTCAAGAGGATCTCCGAAATGCATTTAAGACGCTTCTGGCTCTTCGGTTCGCCGTCCTCTTCAATTTCTCATCCCCCTCTTCCTCCTCCTCCTTCTCCTCCTTCTCCTCCTTCTCCTCCCTCTGCTCCTTCTCCTCCTTCTCGTCCTCCCCGTCCTCTCCCTACTCCACATCCTCCTCCTCATTCTCCTCCTCCTCCTCCTCCTCTTCCTCCCCCTCCCCCTCCGGCGAGGATTCCTTCTCCATCCTCCCCCTCTTGGGGTACGTGACAGCTTCCCCCGCCCTTTGTTATTCTGCATGCTCCCCGACTTCCCTGATCACCTCAACTCCCCTGGGCATCGTTTCTGGATGGGCTGGTGGGGATACGCGAAGCGTCAACAATTCCTTACTCACTACTTCCTTCCCACTACTCGCGACCGCCTACTAGCTACTCACTACTCACTAATCTCTACGCGCTGCTCACTACTACCACTACCCATTACCGATTACCACTACTCACCACTCACGACTCACTGCGCACTACTCACTATCAAATACCCACTACTTACCAATCGCAACTCAAAACACCCTACTCCCTACTCACTACCCGAGAGGCCCCCTCCCCAGCCCCCTGTTCGGCGCAAAAGGAGGGGGAGGGGGGGGGTCGAAAATCTCACCCTCCCTTTAAGGGGGGGGTGAGGGGGGGTCTGCGAGAAGCCCCCCCTTTTGTGTATTCATGGCCATCCACTGGCGCGCTTTCGGCTTGATGGGTGGTAAATAACGAGGCAAGGGTAGCAGCTCTGGCCACCGACGGCCACTGGAGTTTCTCTCCGCATTTGGGTCCTGAGCCTCCTCGGGACAATGCACCAGGAAGACGACGCTGTAGGAGATCCGCAGCCAGTCCCCATGATGCATCGGCTCCTCTCGGGGCTGCCAATAAGGGGGGCTGGGCCACGAGAGCCAATATCGTGAATAAGCACGTCGCCGCGAAAAGAACCCGACTTGAGATCCAGACCCAATCCGTATGCTGGGCTGATCGGACCTCTTCTCTGTTATTCGTGTATGCTATGATGTCTGATCTTCTCTTGTCCCTCTTCTCTCCTCTTCTCTCCTCTTCTCTTCTCTCTCTTGTATCTCTTATCTCTCTGTCTCTATGTCTCTCTCTCTCTCTCGCTCTTTCTCAATCTATTTCTCTGTATTTCTCGGCACACCACTCATGCGAATCGCGGCCATCTATGTGCAAGCCAGCCAGCAAGACGCGATCACATGCGCTGCCACCTCCTTATCCTCCTCCTTCCTCCCTCCCGCCTTCCCCAGACATCCGACGTCGTGACTTTTCGGAACGCCGCTCCCCAAGGTGAACCCGTTCCCCAGAACGGTTACTTCATCCTCAAATGCTATCCAAGGTTCCCAGGGGTCCTGAATGAAGCTGAAAATTGCTTAAATACTTTGTTTTCCTCCCTCTGATCGTCATCCGCGCCCACCTCGCCCTCCACCTCCTCCTCCTCCTCCTCTTCCTCCCCATCCTCCTCCTCATCCCCCTCCTGCTCGCCCTCGTCCTCCTCGCCTTCGGTGTCGCGAAAAGGAGCGTGAGAGAGAGAGAGAGAATCAACATCGCTAGACCTTTTCCAAAGGCTGGCCACGACGCAAGGACATCAGGGAGCATTTCAGGTGGTCGCAAACCCCATGGACTAAGCCATCCCCCAGCAGGGCCCCGATGACCGCCATGTTGGTCCGCGATTTGGTCCTGGTCCCCTTTCTTCCTGCCCCCTCCCCCTTCCAGTTTCCCCCTCCCTCCGCCTCCTCCTGCTCCCCCCTCCCTCCTCCCTCCCTGCTCCCTACTGCTCCATACTGCTCCTACTGCTCCCTCCTCCTCCTTCCTGCCTTCTTCTCTCCCTCCCTACCTCCCAGGCAGTCGACCCGTATCCTAAAAATGCACGATAAAGATGCAAAGGCCTTGGAAGGCAGCTTCGAAGCTTTTCGAACGGGGCGCAAAGTGGCCAAGGATGGACCGAGGAGGCAAGGATGCAAGGGAACCCTTGGGAAGGTTGCCCATCCTTACTATGCGGGTTAACTGTACCCCCCTCCTCATCTCCTCCTCTGGCTCCTCCCACACCCTCCTCCTCCTCCTCTTCTTCCTGAGCCACTTGTTCCTTCTCCTCCTCCTCTCCGCCTCCCTCCAAGCGAACCGGTCATTGTGTGACATGCCGCCGCCAACATGTGGCGACTTTCTCCTTTACCTTACAATAAATCCGTCGACCCTGTCGGCGTGTGTGAGAGAGGCTTTTCCGTTCGAGTCGTCGTCGTCGTCGTTGCCGCTCCCCCTCAAGCGATCCAGCCAGATGGAAATCGAACAACGTCGTAGTCGAGCCGAGAAGAAGCCGCTTTCCTTTGATCCCTTCCCCGCCGGGGGGGGGTGGCCGTGAGGGGGGAACCGAACCAGGAGGTTGAGGCCCCCCTCCCCGAGGGGGGCACCCCTTCCCGGGAGAAGCGTTGGGCCCCAGAGCATCGGCGTCGTCGTCGTCGCCGTCGCCGTCGCCGTCGCCGTCGCCGTCGCCGTCGCCGTCGTCGTCGCCGTCGTCGTCGTCGTCGTCGTCGTCGTCGTCGTCGTCGTCGTCGTCGTCGTCGTCGTCGCCGTCGTCGTCGTCGTCGTCGTCGTCGTCGTCGTCGTCGTGGTCGTCGTCGTCGTCGTCGCGTCGTCGTCGTCGTCGTCGTCCCCCTTCAGGGTCGGCGGCACCGGCCGTAAGGCATTCGCAATCACTCCCCCCTGTCGCACACCCGAACATGTCGGTAGGGCGGGCCGGGCGTTTTGCCTAAGGGTTCCAGCTTGAGATTTGCAATAATCCGCCGGCCCCCTTGTGGGGCCACCAGGCTGTAGGCGCGAGGTTCGCAGTTTCCTGTACCAGTCGTAGGTTGTAGTTTCCAGTGTTACAATTCTGCTTCTTGCTGGTTACTGTAACTAAAAAGAAAAAAAAAAAAAATAAAAAACTAGTTGATTGACCGCGCGAGGGGGGGGAGGCCCAAACGGGATTTTTAGCACCCCCTGGGCGCGTTGTCTGAATTGCTGGGGGGGCTCGAAATCGACACCCCTCACGCAGATCCGCGGGGTCAGGGTCCAAAAACATAGGGGATTTGCCACATTTCTGAAATTCTGTGCCACCCCTCAGGCAGATCCGCGGGGTCAGGGTCCAAAAACACAGGGATTTGCCACATTTCTGAAATCCGGTGCCACCCCTCACGCAGATCCGCGGGGTCAGGGTCCAAAAACACAGGGATTTGCCACATTTCTGAAATTCGGTGCCACCCCTCACGCAGATCGCGGGGTCAGGGTCCAAAACACAGGGGATTTGCCACATTTCTGAAATTCGGTGCCACCCCTCACGCAGATCCGCGGGGTCAGGGTCCAAAAACACATGGGATTTGCCACATTTCTGAAATTCGGTGCCACCCCTCACGCAGATCCGCGGGGTCAGGGTCCAAAAACACATGGGATTTGCCACATTTCTGAAATTCGGTGCCACCCCTCACGCAGATCCGCGGGGTCAGGGTCCAAAAACACATGGGATTTGCCACATTTCTGAAATTCGGTGCCACCCCTCACGCAGATCCGCGGGGTCAGGGTCCAAAAACACATGGGATTTGCCACATTTCTGAAATTCGGTGCCACCCCTCACGCAGATCCGCGGGGTCAGGGTCCAAAAACACATGGGATTTGCCACATTTCTGAAATTCGGTGCCACCCCTCACGCAGATCCGCGGGGTCAGGGTCCAAAAACACGGATTTGCCACATTTCTGAAATTCGGTGCCACCCCTCACGCACATCCATCGCAAGGCGTGGTAACCCAAACTGCGAGTACTCCCTCGGCCCTTTAATCCCAAGGTGTGGTAACCAAGCTCGTAAACCATACACGTCTTACCAATCGCCCTGTGTGGTAACCCCTCTTGTGATCAGTTGGTTTTGCCGATTGCGAATCGGCCTCGCATGAAGTTCCGATACTGCTGCACGACAGCGCCAAAGCCTCATGACTTAGCTCTTCCATGGCCCATTCTCCGAGAGAGGGGGCCAGCGGCAGGGGGCGAAGCCCTTACGGATTTCCAGGACGCTGACCGGTTGGCTTTTAAGATGTTGCTGTCGCTTTAGCGCCGCACACATTCGTCTCAAACGTTTGCAGCCGCTTCAAAAACAGAGGTTGGGTGATTTTCAAAATGTGGCTCTCGCCTTGGCGGGGACGCATGCGGGCGAAGTAATTGGAGCCTGCGGTGGCGGTCCATATGGGGCCACGACACGTGTGAGATGTGTGTCGAAATGGAGCGGGGCCGCCATGCGAACGTCGCCACTGGGGCCTTCGGTGGAGCTCCCTATGGGGCGACGAAGCGCTGTACTGAGTCGGGGAGACGCATGCGAACGCCGCCACTGCGGCCTTCGGTGGAGCTCCCTATGGTGCCAAGAAGCGCTGTACTGGGTGGGGGAGACGCATGCGAACACCGCCACTTGGGCCTTCGGTGGAGCTCCCGACGGGGCTACGAAGCGCTGTGCTAAGTGGGGGGGGACGAATGCGAACACCGCCACTGGGGCCTACGGTGGAGCTCCCTGTGGAGCTACGAGACGCTGTGCTGGGTGGGGGAGACGCATGCGCACACCGCCACTGAGGCCTTTGGTGGAGCTCCCTATGGGGCCACGAAGCATTGTACTGGGTAGGGGAAACGCATGCGAACACCAACACTGGAGCCTTCGGTGGAGCTCCCTATGGGGCTACAAGGCGCTGTACTGGGTAGGGGACACGCATGCGAACACCGTCACAAGCCTTCGGTGGAGCTCCCTATGGGGCTACGAAGCGTTGCACTGGGTAGGGGATGAGAGCTCCCTATGGGGCCACGAAACGTGTGAGGGGTGTGCCGAAGTGGAGGGGGGGCGGCATGCGAACCATGCCACTGAGGCCTTCGGTGGAGCTCCCTATGGGGCCACGAAACGTGTCAGGGGTGTGCCAAAGTGGAGGCGGGGCTGCATGCGAACCATGCCGCTGGGGCCGTCGGTGGAGCTCGCTATGGGGACACGCAGCGTGTGAGGGATGTGCCAAAGTGAGGCAGAGGCGAGGGCAAAGGTGGTAGGAGGGAGGAGCGGGAGAATGAGAAGGAAGAGGAGACGCGGGGACTGTACCTTCAAAACGAGGACACATCACCACAGGATGGTTGGGACAAGTGCAGCAACTTCGAAAATGGAAGGCGGCTCCGTTCGAAAATGCGGCTTTCGCCTTACCGCCCCGCGCTTTCGTCTTAAACGAGCAGCAGCTTCAAAGATGGAAGGCGGTTGAGTTCGAAAATGTGGCTCTCACCTTACCACCACGCGCATCAGTCTTAAAAGTCTGCGGCAGTCTGAATGGTTCGTCGGAGGTTGGGGGGCGAGATCGCAGTGGAACGGGGAGCCCTCTACCAGGAAATCGGCATCGGTTTCGTGTTCGCGTCGCGAGCGCGGGCGAGGCGAAGCTGCGCGGGCGCGCGAGAGGAAACGATGCCGCCGTGGCCAGGAGCTGTGGAGCCGGCTGTACGCCCCTCTCCCCCAGGCGTGCGGTGGCCGCGGGTGTCCCGTCAGTGGCGCGTCGGTGCCTCGTCGGCGGCGCGAGGTGCCCCGTCGCTGAGGCGGGGTCCCGACGGTGGCTCGGGGTGTCCCGCCGTGGTGTCTTGGTAGTAGCTCGTGAATCAGGTGTGAGATCGATCGCGGAATCGGATCGGCTGCGTGATCGGTCCTGATCGAGAGATCGATCGTGAGATCGACAGTGGGATCGATCGCGATATCGATCACAACATGTATTTGGCAGGAGGTGTCCCTCCGTGGCTGGGGGTGCCCCATCGTGGTGTCCCGATGGTGTTTCGTGAGATTTCTTGTGAGGTCGCTAGTGAAATCTCTTATAATATCGATATT